ACATAAAGAGGAATCCACCTCACGAGTATCACTATACTTAGTAGGGATCACAGCTTATCACTATACTTAGTAGGGATCACAGCTTTCGAAACTAAACCACCCCACGACTCATGGTCAGTGATAAAGCATCGTAGCATCTCATGTCGTTTACTTTTGATGGAAGGTCTGGATTAATAAGTTCCAACTTATTTTTATCCATTATTGATTTGATATAGAATTAATCAAATTAATTCTTTAGGGTTCCTTAGATCTCATCAATTACCATCTTTACGTGTGTTTATTTACCGCATTATTCATCGCATGAATCACAAGCATAAATAAACCTAACATACATCTAATGCATGCATACGGTGGATGATCATGACCTTGCCTATGCGATCCATTCGAGCCAAAATGGATCTATGCCTATGCACGTGTTATAATAAATAAATAGAACTACTTCTATTACAATTTATTTTATCTACCCGTACAAGCACAGGCCTTCGAGTTTTATAACTTGTAAAATTCCCCACACAAGCGTGGGCCTTTTGCATCGAACGGTCTCCACCTTGATCTATCTTTTAACGATACAAAGTCACACGACCCGTGTGAGACCACACGACCCGTGTGATCCTATCACACGACTCGTGTAAAAAACCCATAAGAAAAAATCAAATTTTTCCTTAAGTCACACGGCTCGTGTGAAGCCACACGACCCGTGTGACACCTCACACGACCCGTGTGGCTAAAAAATCAATTTATTTTTATTTTGATAATTAATATGTTTATCATATAAACATTTAATTATCATATAAACTTAAACAAATCAAAATCTATTTTTAAAGATGCTAATCGTAACGTGGCTCTGATACCACTGTTGGGTTCGATATACTGTACGGAACAGAGTTTGCAGCGGAATTTAAAATTTTATAAGTATTTATCTCATAAATACTTATTCCGTACATAAGTATAACGAGATAACAAATAAGCATCATTTAAAATCTAGTAACTTTTACTAATTTTGATTTGATATGTAATTTATAAAATTACCTTTGTTCTTGAACTCCTTCAAAAAACGACGATGGATGAGGAAATCAATTCCCAGTTTGGTAACGTCCACTTCTTGATGTTACTCGCTTTAGGAATTCAAATGTCTTCCCTATAAGAGTATCCACCTTTTGAACTCCGGTTCCGACTATAGTTTCTTCGCTAGTAGAAACTACTCGGTTTTTCAATAAGTATAGAATATATATATAATTATAAGGAAATTTTACAAGAACTCTTTCTGGCTTTATCACTCAACTATTTGGATGATTTTTCTCTTTGGAAGAACTTAGAAAAACTTAGCAATTTATGTGCAAACATTTTGCACCTATTTATAATAAACATTTTAGCATAAAATAATCAATATTTGATAATTATTTATTTTTAAATAAAATCAGATTTTATTTAAATTATCATACCAAATATTGACTTTTAATTAATAATGTGGAGTGGTTTATAACCACCATCAACCACCATTATTTTGTCTCTCAATTATTTGAATCTTTAATCATATTAAAGATAAAACAATAAAATAATAATTCTTGAAAACATTTTTCAAGACTTTATTATTTTAATTTTCTCTTCCAATTTCCTTATTTAATAATCATATTATTATTTGGATTTTAAATTTAAAATCCAATTTTAAATTCCAACTATTAATTAGTAATTCCACTAATTACTAAATTAATATCCAAAATTCAATTAATCAATCTAATTGATTAATTTAAT